TAAGGTCCTCCCTGGGGGCACTAAGGTCCTCCCTGGGGGCACTAAGGCCCTCCCCGGGGGCATTTTCTTCCAGTGTAGGCAGCCCAGCTCTCACAGTGGTTCTTGTGTCTCCGGTGGGTATCAGGGCAGGGCAGGCACAGTTAACTCAGATGTGGATAATAGGTTAGCCCAGATGAGGAGTCAGGATTGAAGGGGCAGGCACATAGTGGGGTGCTCCCTCCTGCACCCTGATTAGGCACAGACCACACTCAAACACTTGTTTTCACAGAGAGATCCTTTACTAAGCAGGGAAGAAAGAGGCCGACTTCTGACTGAGTCGGAAAAACAGCAGCAAAAGCCCTTGCAGGTGTGGTGAATTTTTAAGAGGGGAAAGGGGAGGCCTGTGCTAGAATGGGCTAGGATGCGGCGGGATGTTTTAATTGGGCGTGTTAATTAGGGTAGCTGAAAGGGGGCTTTGGATTGCTGGAGTTCAGTACTTTAACAGCCCCAGGAATGAGTCTGGCATAAGAAAGTGTCCCAATAAGGGAATAGACCTTGGTGGTTAGTTTTAGGGATGTCATCTACAGTTTGCAAGGGAGGGGGGAAGGGCAAGGCCTGCCAGTGCCATGTTTGTTATGCCTGGGCCAACTAGAGTCCTTTCGAGGACTGTTGTGGTCTTGAAAGGTGAGCTCAGGTCTCCCAGAGGCAGAAGGCCTCTGCCTCCTGGGGAGGGAGGTCCGAAGGGAAGGAGGGGCAGAGGCCTTTATCTTTTCATTGCTTAGGGTCCTCTCAGAGCTCTCCTCTGATAGCTGGGAGGTGTGTAGGCAAAGTCCTGCAGAACTGACTATGGCTGGTTGTGTGAGCTTCTTGTGGTAGCTGTAGCGAACCCCGAGACATGTTGGTGAGATTCAGAGCCAGGGCCAGGCAGGCAAAAAGATGGGTGGACAGATGGCAGTTTGGATGGGTCACATCAGCAGTGGGGACCAAGGAGCTGAAGCCCCAGGTGGGCATTCTCCTATCGGTCCCTTGACACATATGGAGTGATTAGATGAAAGGCCAGGGGTAGTTACCTCATGTTCTCTCCATGGAGTGACATGAGGGCATAGCACCTTTCCTCGGTCTGGTGTGTTGGACAAGCTCTTGGGCCAGGTTTTTGTGATATGGTTTTAATAGGTACATGTGCTCATGTGTTCCCAATCCACTGTGACTTGTTTTCAGGGGTCTGTTTTAGGGGTCAGTCTTCAGCCTGTGACAGGTGTTGTCAGTGTTGATGTGCACAACAAGATGGAGAATCCTCCTGCTTTTGTGTCGACACTCACTATGGTGCCAAACGCTCCTGGTGACGTGGAGGGGGATCCAGGGAAAGGTCCAGGCTGCACGTGGCTGCTCCACAGCCTGGAGTCAGTCGGGACAGCAGACCGAGCACCGTAGCTGCTGGCTGCCTCTCTGTCTAACTTTGGAGATGGAAGGTAGAACACCTGACTTGGCCTCCAGGCTCCAACTCCAGGAGAGTGTGGCTTCTCCCTGAAGAGGAGCTAGAAGAGAGATCTCTGACTTTGGAGATGGAAGGTAGGACACCTGGCTTGGCCTCCAGGCTCACAACTCCAGGAGAGTGTGGATTCTCCCTGAAGAGGAGCTAGAGGAGAGACTGCAGAGTTGGCAGGTCTCAGTAACCTGGATGAAGGCTGTGCATGAAAAGCAAGAGAGAGGAGGGGCAGGTGGGTGCTTGTGCCCTGGAGGCCTCTTGTGGGGGGCAGACATCGCAACATGGAGAGCGATGGAAGGGAGACAGCTGCTGGGCCTGGAGGGAGTTCATGTGAGAGAAACAGCCAGCTCTGCTTGTTCTGTGTTGAAAGCCTATGGGTTATTTGCATTCTAAGCTGAGGAGGTAGCCTTTGGAGTGGGGGGAGATTTGAGGGCCTGCGCTGGCCCCTGGGCTCTGAGTTTCCCTAGCACAGGGTGAGCTGCCCGCTTTCTCTCCTGAGGGGCTGAGCCCGCTCTCTCTTCTGAGGGACCAGGTTCTTAGCAGCTGCACCTATTGGTCCCTCCAGAGACAGGCTTGCAGCGGACAGGCACACAGCAGACTGGCTGGCAGCTAGATTGCTGGTACCAGACCTTTGGCATCAGACCTACATCCATCCACCCTGAGGTCTGCTTGTCCTTGAGGAAAGAGGCTGACCCAGAGGGGTGGGTAGGGGCTGCCTATGATCAGGACCCTCTATCACAGGTGTGAGAGTGATGGCCCAGGACCAGCTGGGAGGGTGGGGGACCCCACTATCCTGCTTCCTGTTCCCCCATCGGGACCTGATGCTGGTTCCACTGGAGTTCAGAGAGGAAGAATGAGGCGTGGCTAAGGTCAAGGAAAGTGTTTATTAGGGTTCTGAGGAGCCTTCCAGTGAGAGGGCACCTGATAATTTCCCACAGAGAAGCCCTCTGACCCCTGGACTGTGGAGCAGAGTTCCTAGGCTTGTGACCAGGATCTCAGGCCGGGTAGTACCCAACAGCAAGACAGGATCCTCTGTTGTTTGGTGAATGACTCTCAAGCTTAGGCAAGGCTTGCATCTGAGGCAGTTCAGGGATTAAAGGGAGAGGGGACGGATCTCCAGGAAATGAACCCATCAGCAGCTGGACTTCTGGCCAGAGCAGAGGCCACTGCAGGCCTGGCGGGAGCAGGTAGGGCGGCAGAGCAGGGACATGCTGGAGCAGGGCTTGCAGCAGCTGGGCTGGCAGGAGGAGGCACAGCAGGAGGAGCTGGGCACACAGCAGGCAGGTCTGCACACAGGGTGGCAGAGCAGGGACATACTGGAGCAGGGCTTGCAGCAGCTGGGCGGGCAGGAGGAGGCACAGCAGGAGGAGCTGGGCACACAGCAGGCAGGTCTGCACACAGGGCGGCAGAGCAGGGACACGCTGGAGCAGGGCTTGCAGCAGATAGGCTTGCAGCAGACAGGCACACAGCAGGAGGATTGGCAGCATGAGGGCTGGCAGCTAGACTGCTGGCAGCAGGAGGATCCAGAGCAGATGGGTGTGCAGCAGACGGGCTTACAACAGACAGGCACACAGCAGGAGGATTGGCAGCATGAGGGCTGGCAGCTAGACTGTTGGCAGCAGGAGGAGGATCCAGAGCAGATGGGTGTGCAGCAGACAGGCTTGCAGCACAGGGTCAGACAACAAGGTGAGGAGGTGCAGCATGAGGGCTGGCAGCTAGACTGCTGGCAGCATGAGGGTGTGCAGCAGCTGCTGCAGGCAGATTGGCAGCAGGGGCTGGACCCACAGCTCACTGGGGTGCAGATGAGGGTCAGGCAGGGGGCTGGGACACAGCAGCTGGGGACACAGCAGCTGGTCTGGCAGCAGCTGGGGGCACAGCAGCTGGACTGGCAGCAGCTGGGGGCACAGCAGGTAGGCTCACAGCAGCTCTCTGGGCAGTCCTCGATCTGCCAGGAGGACTCAGTGCAGGGCTCAGAGCAGACGGACATGGTGGAGGCGGCCATGGCTGAGTGGAGGGTGGAGGGTGAGGTGAGAAGGTGTTGAATGAGTGAGTGAGGTGGGAAGGTGGTTACCACTTATATATCCCTCAAGGGTTTGTGTATGTTTGTGTTGTCCTGGCTGCAGTTCCTTGTTGATGTTGATGTAAGGACACCCATCAATCAAGTGGCCATGACCTGTAGCTCCGCCCATAGAACTTTCAGATAGGGCAGGGCAGGTGTCATTTCCTCTCCAGGGAGGTTCAGTTCCCTGTTGTCTGCCATGGTCACCTCTTGAGGCCCCTTGCTCTGGATCCCTGCTTCAGCCCTTGATTGAGTCATCAGCACATTTTAACCTTGTTTTATAGCCACTTTATTTGGGGATGATGGTCAGAACGCTGTGTTCGCTTTCTTTATCAAAATACTAGTGTTAATAGTTCTTGCTTTGATCTAGGAATTATTTCAAGTTAGTCTGTAAATATCAACTCATTATGCCCTGCGACCTTGAGAGGGAGCCGATTTCATTATTCCTAGATGGGGAAACTGAGACACAAACATGAGCTTGTAGAAGCGTCTGTCAGGGAGCTCAGACACCAGAACTTGGGTACTTCTATCCTGTGTTCGTATCTGCGGCTGCGTGGGGAGGGGGCGGGGCGGCAGGCCAGGACACCCACCATCACCTGTGTGGGCTTTACCTCTACTGGGTGGGGCTAGAGCTGAAAGGTGTGGTAGAGCTGCTTGGGGCAGGGCAGGGGAGTTGTCATGTGCGCTCCCAGGACTGGGGGCAGGGGAGGGAGGGGAAGTTGGGGTGGGGGGAGGACAGATGGACAGGCTGACATGAAGACGATGCAGCAGGGGCTTCAGGGATTTGCTCTGAGAATAATGCCTACTTCTATCTACAGCATGAGGACCCAGATTGACTGATAGGTAGAAAGGGGAAGGAGGTTGCTTAGAAGGGATGTTGGGGTTTGACTGTGTTCTCAGATGCAGGAGGCTCTCTGCTGAAAATTGATCCAAGTTTAAGACAACTTACAACCTTTTTGTTTGTGACACTGGGTCCCTGGATGATCAAGCTAGGAGGGGGCTGGGACCTGCCTGAGAACTTGGAAAAGACCCAGTCTTATGGATTGAATGTGAAATGTTCCCTCATCTGGGAGTGCTATTTTGGAAGGTTGTGGAACATTTTGAGGGTTCTGGCCTGGTTCTGATTGCTGCTGAGTTCTGCTTCCTGATGGGCCATGGCAGAGAAAGCTGTGTCATGATCCTCATCCCCACCACAAATGGACCCGAGGTACTACACTTTCCCCGTACCTTCCCGGTCCAATAGAAGTATCCTTTTTGCTGTGAGCCCAAACAATGGCCCCCTCCCCTCAATGATGTCAAGTAGCTTCTTGAGGAGTTTTCAGCAGCAACAATACATATAAGAGAAAACCGGTAGCAGGAGTGGGTTTGTGTTGTGATAAGCTTGACTGTTGGCAGAGACTGCTCATTTGTTCCCGGCCGCCCAGACCCGAAATGATCTCACAGACACTATATTAATTAAATCACTGCTTGGTCAATAGTTTAGGCATCTTTTTAGCTAGCTCTTATATCTTACATTAACACAGCTCTGTTCATCTGTGCATCACCCAGAAGGAAATCCCACATCACCCGACCACATGGCTCTCTGGTCTTTGGAATGGTGTGGGGGAGGAGTGTGGGAGACTTTGGAGCTGTGGACTAGATGTTCTACAGTGCTCTAATCAGAACGCAGAGGGATATTCTGTTGGGCGTTCAGAAGACCAGGAACTGAGAGAGATGTTGCAGTGAGGATTCTACCTGTAAGGCTTTGGATGGAAGCAAGGACTAGAGACTTTCGGTGCTACCTTCTGGCAGGGAATCTGGCTATGTTTTGCTTGTGTCCTGAGACTGTGAGTGAAGCCGAGTTTAAATGCATTTGACTAATTGTTGGGAAGAGGTAATTTTAAGATGTATAATATTCAGGCTGTGGCATGACTGTTGTTGACTGCCTTTAGCCAGGTTTTCAACACTATAAAATGGTGACATTTGGACAGGAAGAAGTGTAGGTGTAGTTAATATTTTATATAGGGTGGGCATGGGAGGTGCAGGCAAATCAGCTTTACCTGTCAAAGAGATCAGCACCATGAAAAGAAAGTCAAGCATTTTCTTCCACTGGGATAATGAGAAAGGGACCTTGAAGACATGATCCCAATCAATGAAATCACCAAGATGTAAAAAATGCAAACTTGGGCTGGAGAGATGGCTCAGTGGTTAAGAGCACCAGCTGCTCTTCCAGAGGACCTGAGTTTGATTCCCAGCACCCACATGACAGCTCACAACCATCTGTAACTCTAATCCCAGGTTATTCAACACTTCTGGCCTCCATAGGCACCAGGCATGCACGTAAGATATACATGCAGGCAAAACACCCATAAACATAAGAATAAATAAATAAAATGTGTAAAAAAATCTTTCATCTAAAAGGAGGGTGCTTGTACGGAGTCTGGTTGTGGAGGCATGCAAGATCCAAGAGTGAGTGGGTCGTTAACGCTTGCACCAAGGTTCTAGAGCAAAGCCTGTGGGGCCAGGTAATATGCAGCAGGGTTGCCCTAAGCATTCTCCACACAAAGCTGCAAAGGTGAAGCTTTAGTTACAGTGGAGACCCCAAGATGGTGGAGAAGCCAGGAACATGGAGTGCCTGCTAAGGAGAGAGTGCAGATACAGGGGGAGGCTGACTTGAGAGAGAGAGACTGTGTGTGTGGCAGGCATCAGAGCTAGGGGGCAGGGTTGCCAAGCTTGTCGGAGCCTAGATGATGTCATCGTGAACCCAGGACGCCCGATTTGGAGCTGTGGTGCTTGTTATATGCTCTGCTGGTGTCCAGTCTTACTTTGGTGTCATCTTTCCTCATCATCCTCCCCTTCTGCAATGTGAATGCTCACTGTGTCTGTGTCTGCGCATACTATAAACATGTGACTTATTTGTTTACTTACTTTTCAGAGCTCACAACGAAGAGTTGCCTTGAGTCAGAGGAGACCTAACAAATGTCTCTGAATCATGTTAGAACTGCTAAGATCATGGAGACCCTTAGAGATGAACCAAACACATTTTGATTTATGAGATGGCAACGAGAGTATGGGTAGAGTGTTGTGCTTCCAATGTGGAGCATTCCGACAGGTTTAGATGTTTGAACACTGGCTCCCAACTAAGGCTTGGATGTGCAGATGCTCTTGGTGGGTGAAGATTCAGGTAAAATACCTTTCTAAGAAGAGGACTGTGGTTAGGGCCAGATGTCACCTCCAAAGCCAAAGGCTGGCCTAATAGAGCAAGAACCTGTAAAAAAACTTTAGGGTGCCCTTTATTTCCCAGGGATGTGTCTGTTGGTTCATACAGTAACTGTGTCTCTTTTGAGGAATCTCTAATGTGCCCTGGAGATCTGGTATCTGTTCTACCCTCCACTCCACCAGAAATGCAGATGGGCTCCAAACTCCCACACATACTAGCATTTGCCTTCCTTTTTAAACACGGCCACCAACCCCCAAAGTGGGACACAGTGCATCTCATTGTGATAGCTTGTCTTTAATGAACCTTGGCCATTCGTGTGTCTTCCCTGGAGAAATGAGTGTTCAGTCTTCGGCCTGCTTGGTGCTGGCGTGTCCTTTTGCTGTAGGAATTCTTTCCACAGTCTAGTTATTAACTTTATCAGATACGCCACTTCTCAGCGTCTTCCCTCCTGTAGGCTTTCTTGTCCTACCTTCTGCATCTCTCTTGTGCCGTCTCTGTCTGGCCCTCCGTGTTTCCCTCACTCTCTCATCTTCCTTCCCTTTCTCCATCCAGACTTCTGATGGATGGTGCTGTCTTCTGAGGATTAGACTCCAACACAGTATGTGTGTGTGTGTGTGTGTGTGTGTGTGTGTGAGAGAGAGAG